TTTTTTCTTTCTTCCTGAGTGAACCATGATATTTTGTATCTTCCAAAAAATTTGTGCTCATTTCTTCTACAATAAAATTTATTGCCATCGTTGTTCCTAATATTTGTAGAGTCTGTAGTGGTTTTACCTCCATCGTTCTTGGCATTGGTCATTTCTTTCTCTCTATCCTATTCAGTCTAGACAGGTGTGTGAATTGTTTTTGAGCTTCTCAAAGAACCAGCTTTCAGGTTAAATGTTTTCTATTACTTTTTTCCAATGTTATTGATCTCTGCCCTACCTTTGTTATTTCCCTTCTTCTGCTTATACTTTTATTAGAGGCCCGGTCATGAATTCATGCACAGGTGGGGTCCTGATGGGGGGAGGGAAGGCTGGAGGTTTGCAGGCCAGCCCCGCCCCCAATCGGGGTGTGGGTGGCCAACCCATGGCAAGTCCAGCAGTGGGAGGATGGGTGGAGGGACCCCACAGACACTGACTCTGTTAGCACCTTGGCCTTGGACTTCCCAGTCTCAGTAAATGTCTGCTTCAGCCACCTGGTCTATGTACCTCCTGAGGCGGCCTGAGCACACTAGGACAGTATGTACAGTCTGTATCCACTCAGAACTCTGTGTTTATCACGCTTAGATGTGTAAAAATATAGAGTTTTCATCTGAGGTACCATTTACCTTCAACTCAGCAACTTTCACAATGCAGGGCCTTCAGGGCTCCATCACAATGTCCACACCAACTGCGAAGGGACAGACGCCTCTGCAAATGGCCAGGGTCAAGCAGGAGCAAAGGGCACTTCCCAAAGGTCTCAGGGCCCCAGGACTGCAAGGCCCAGTTCTCACTAAAGAACTGTGTGCATGTGAGTGAGTGTGTGTGCATGTGTGTGTGTGCACGAGTGTGTGAATGTGCATGTGTGTGCGCGTGCATATATGTGTGCATGTGTGTGTGTGCATGTGTGTTGTGTAAGCTATAAGCCAGTGATGGCGAACCTATGACACACGTGTCAGAGGTGACACTCAAACTCATTTTTTTGGTTGATTTTTCTTTGTTAAATGGCATTTGAATATATAAAATAAATATCAAAAATATAAGTCTTTGTTTTACTATGGTTGCAAATATCAAAAAATTTCTATATGTGACACGGCACCAGAGTTAAGTTAGGGTTTTTCAAAATGCTGACACGCCGAGCTCAAAAGGTTCGCCATCACTGCTATAAGCTGTGGGTGTGGGGAAAGGGTCCTTTGCCTGGGCCTAGTGGTGTCAGGGCCCAAGGGATGTTCTAAAGAAGTGGGAGGTCATTCAAGGCAGGATGCAGCCCTGCACTGCCCGAGTCCCCTCTCTCACTGCTCTGCTACCTGCCTGCACATCGGGTCAGGGAGAGAGAGCACCCAGAGGGGAGCCCGGCCCTGGGGAGAGGGCACAGCGTGGACGTGAGGACATGGGTGGGTCCTGGAGTCTGAGCGCCTGAGCTCGGCCCAGAGGGCCCGGTGGGGAGGGGGTGGAGGAGGACACCTTCCCAGGGATAGGCTTCTGTTGGGCTTCGATGGTCAGGGGCAGAGCACCCTGCAGCTCCCATGTCTCAGCCCTGAGTTCTGTACTGAACGTCCCCGTCCCAGCTGTGAGCAGCTCAGTGAGGGGCGTCTCCTAAGGTCCCCATTTGGGTCAGTAACCAAAGAGAGCCTTGGTGTTGCAGGCGCTTTATTGATGAACATGTGGGGGAGGTTTCAACAATTGTCTTGCAGTTTCAGGATCAAAAGGCACAGAGGGGAGCTAAGCTGTGGTTCTGCGATGGAGAGTCGCTGTCGGGCCATCTGTCGTCGGAGGAAAGGTCCTGTGGGTCAGTAGGAGGCACACGGCGCGCTGTCGTATATTTTGTCCTGGAAACAGACAGAGAAGCACTCACACCCCCTCTCCCACAGAGGCCGTCCTGGAGCACAGACGTGGCCTCTCCTTGTTTCCCGGCTGTGTCCGCACCCACGGAGAGAAGCGGGCTGGGTTCAGCCAGAATTCTCTCCTTGTTGTGTCGCTCAGGATGCACGGCCTGATGCCAAGAATGCGCAGCTTCCAGACCCGGTCCCGCCGGGGCCCTGGGAGCCTTTCCCTGCGCATTTCCTCTGCTTTGAAAGAGGCCTCCCATGCACCTGCAGTGCTGCCACTTCGGGTCTCAGCCCAGCAGGAGCTTGTGTGCATCTGGGGGCTGTGGGCCTGCCCCCTGAGCCTGGCACGTGCTTGTGACCACAGAACTGAGGAGACGCGCACTCGAGGGGTTTGTCTGACCGATGTTTGCAAAGAGAAAGGCTATCACCTGCCATTGAAGGGGCTGCTCATGGCTTCAGGTGTGACTATGGTCAATGCCTGTCCCATAAATAGGACCCTTTCACCCTTTTAAATGGACAGTTTAGTCGTGTTAAGGTCCCAACCTCCAGGGCCTTCTCCTCTCGCTCAAGTGCAGCCCCGGGCCCTGAACGTCTCCC